TGTAGTCTTCAGCCACTATCTTGGCTGAGGCTTGTAGCAGTTAGTCACTCTGCAAGCACGGAGTATTTGGGTATTTTGGCTGCAGAAGCAATGTGTTTCCACAGTGCACGGGTTGAGCAAGCAGCTGGGGCAGAGGAGAGGCTGGGCCGGGCTTCTAGAAGCTGGAAAAGAAGGCCAGACTGATGCAAGACACAAACCCGAATAGGGAAATGAGCCAGGTGCTTGCCCAACACCCTTGGAATGTGTCTCCAGGTAGGAGCCTTTGCACTCGCCAAAGCCATTTATCTGAGGACAGATTGCCACAAGGTTCAAAAGCCGATAGGTTCTGAGAGTGTGCAGAGGAAATGTGTGTCCCTATTACAATCACGTGGCCCTTGTTACATTACGGTGGAGTGGCTACTCTGGTGGCTGGAGGCCAGAGGTCAGGGTGCAAAAGATGGGCCAACCACAGGTCTGGATCCTGGCCCCGTTGGACAGCTCTACTGTCCAAGCTCCTATGGGGATATCCTCTTTTGTGGTATTTCTCCAAGATGAAATACTTCGTCGTCCTCCATCTCCCTCCAGCTCCAAGGCCTCACCTGGAAGAGACAAAACCCAAAGGCTGGGAAGGTGGCTCAGTGGTAGAATGCTCACCTCACATGCATGAGGCCCTGGGTTCGATTCCTCAGCACCTCATAAGCCGGAAGTGGCGCTGTGGCTCCAGTGGTAGAGCACTAGCTTTGAGCTGAAGGACAGTGCCCAGGCCCTGAGTTCAGGCCCCACGACTGACCAAAAAAAAAGAATAAACCTAAATTATGGGCTCCTCCTAGAGCACCATCCCTGATGGGACACAGCACCCAGTGCCCCATGCAGATTTACTTGTCAAGATCCTGAAGCCGTGTGCCCGGATATGCACTGGGACAAGGCTTTTCCAAAGCTCTAGATCATACTGCACTCTGTCTTACAAAGACTTCCTTCCGATTATATGAGGTCCAGGCCTCCCCAAACGGGACGTACACCTGCCAGTCCTGCTGTGCTCTGGAATAGTTTGAAGCAGACACTGCGAGCTTAGGGTGGGTGGAAAGCGAAGTTCATCGTATTGGCCTGTTGAATCCTCTGAGGGAGATGATTGAAGCAGATCAGGTGGTAGGGCCTTTGGTGAGGACCTGTGGATGTGACTGCTAGCTTTGTGAAATACCACCGGCTTGCACATGCCCAAAGGCTGAATCATATGGAATGTGAATACCTCGGACGGGGAGCTTGGTTGTGACACTTAGTATCTCTGTTACACCCAGGCCTGTCGAGTCTAGGAGGTGTTGATCTGGGACTTTGCCTTCTAACCAAGTTCCTCACCTGTATTGGAGTCAAGACAATGACCCTGCAAACAGCTGGGGTTTTGGGGGGTAGCGGAGTGGCTTTGGTTATCTCTGGGTGGTTTTAGGCCCCAATTTACTGACCCTGTCTTGGGCACAATTTTACAAGCTCACCGACCTTGTAACCTGTCATGGGAGGTAAGCCAGCAATGATTAACTAGGAGGTGAGGACAGGAGAGGATCTGGGGCAGTTGCTCATAGCTCCTGAGCCAAGCTCCATGGATGGTGGAGGGGGTGGAGGGGAGGGGGGAGGGCAGTGTGTCACACCTTTGAGCCACATCCCCAGCCCTGTTGGTGATGGCAGCGCTGGGGTAGGGCAGAGCAGGCCGGTGAGGCTTGACTCCTCAGAGAGGAACTTGGCCTCCAAAGAGTCCAGCCTGGGCCTTACCCCTCTACAGGTGTTGACGCACCGCACCTGAGACAGGAACACCTCCCTCGCTGGGACCTGCCCAACCTTCCCCAGCTTGCATTTGTACCATTTTCAGAGGCTGCACTTCAAAGTGCACAAGGAGTGGCCCATTCTACCCCTTCTCTGAGATCACCTCACTGGGAGGCATGGGGGCGGGGAGGTTGGCTAAAGAATCCCACAGGAGCTGGGAAGGTGGCTCAGTGGTAGAGCGCTTGCCTTGCTTGCATGCATGGGGCCCTGGGTTCCATTCCTCAGCACCACATAAGCAGAAAAAGTTGGAAGTGGTGCTGTGGCTCAAGTGGTAGAGCACTAGCCTTGAGCTGAAGAGCTGAGGGACAGCGCCCAGGCCCAGAGTTCAGGCCCCACAAGACACACACACCTATACCCCGTGCCCCACACAAAATAATTCCACGGGTGCACCAGGAAAAACGTGAAAATCTTTCTCTGGTACACCTGCAGACTCATATACATGCTGGATACATTGGGATCAATTTCTTGATTCCACCGCCCCACCCCCCATCTGTGCCAAAGGCATATACGAACATAAACTTGACATATTTACTACATCCACAGAATGTTTTCATTGAACAGTCCTTGGCCTAGGTTCTGGGGTGAGAGAGGGTCTTGTGGGACATAGTGTGGGGGGTGGGTATCAGGGGACAGGCAGAGCTGAATGGGAATCTCTCTCTTTTTGTCGGTCATGGGTCTTGAACCCAGGGCCTGGGCGCTGTCCCTTAGCTCTTCAAACTCAAAGCAAGCGCTCTACCACTTGAGCCACAGCGCCACTTCCGGTTTTCTGAGTGGTTCATTTGAGACCAGAGTCTCACGGACTTCCCTCCCCGGGCTGGCTTTGAACCATGATCCTCAGATCTCAGCCTCTTGAGTAGCTAGGATGACAGCTGTGAGCCACGGGCGCCTGGCTTTGGGAATCGCTTTGTAAGCCATTCTTTAGAACTGCCAGTCACTGTCAAGTTTGTTTTGGACACCAGGTGGGAGAAAGGAGCAGGTATCCCATTATTCAGACTGCCTCCAGGCTTGGGTCTCTGGTGAGGGACTCATCCATGCAGCTGAAACCTCAGTTGAAGGCTTGGTGGGGGAGGGGAGGGAGCCCCCACCCCATATTGCCCTGTGGCCAGAGGCAAGACTGGAGGGTGGGTGAGCTCCCTGTCACCTGCAAAGTTGCTGGAGAAAGTCCTTGAATGTTCTGAATTCCTGCACCTGCTCCACTCCATTCTTATGGGCATGCAGTCTGGCCAGAGGACTCCAGAATCTCAGCTTGGTTATGCATCAACACGGCTGTCCGGTACCCACCCCTGCCTGGAGGACGATTTTGGGGAGAGAAGCTTGCTGTCACACGTTCCATAACCTGTTTGTCCACATCCCCACTGGGAATGCCAAAGCAAAGACGGAGGATGGCATTCTTGTTTTATTTGTTTGGAGCAATATACTTTTCCTGAGCTTCAGAAAAGGAAGGAGGTCAAAGAATGGGATCCACTGGGCTGGGAAGGTGGCTTACTGGTAGAGCGTTCGCCTAGCATGCATGAAGCCCTGGGTTTGATTCCTCAGTACCATATATACAACAAAAACCAGAAGTGGTGCTGTGGCTTAAAGTGGTAGAGCTCCAGCCTTGAGCAAAAGCAGCTCAGGGACAGTGCCCGGGGCCTGAGTTCAAGCCCCAGGATGGGCAAGAAAAAAACAAAAAGCAATGGCATCTAAGCCAGGCACCAGTGGCTCACACCTGTAATCCCAGCTACTCAGGAGGCTGAGATCTGAAGATCACTGTTCAGAGCCAGCCTAGACAGGAAGTTTTTTTTTCTTTTTTCTTGTCAGTCATGAGGCCTAAGCTCTGGGCCTGGGCGCTGTCCCTCAGCTCTTCAGCTCGAAGCGAGACTCTACCACTAGAGCCACAGTGCCACTTCTGGCCTTTTCTGTTTATATGGTGCTGAGGAATCGAACCCAGGACCTCATACATGCAAGCCACTCTACCACTGAGCCACCTTCCCAGCCTCTTTCCTTTCCTCAGGACAAACTATCCCACTACCCACACGAAGATAATAGTGTCACATTGATTGGTGATTAAAAGTAATGGTGGGTGTAGTCGGGCTTGGTGGTTTAGATGTTTGCAATCCCAGCATTTTGGGAGGCCAAGAATATTGGAAGGTTTGAGGACACCCTGCCTGTATATCTATCTATCTATCTATCTATAGATAGATATATGCAGTGAGGCTGCTCTTAAATAAAAAAAAAAAAGACACCATTTGTAATTTTTTTTTAATTAAAATACTGTTATACCCAGTGGACTGCAGCAGCAGTCCTGGTTCAGGGTAGCATTAACAAAAACGGCCATGTTTACATTTTAAATATTCACGATAACTTAAAAACATACAGACACACATCATGATCTTTGGCAGAAAATGTTCACAGCACACACACACACACACACACACACACACACACACACACACAAATACTTTAAAAGAAATACCAAATATTAATCCAAAATATATTAAGTTGCTTTTTTTTTCCTTTCACAATATTTTTGCCTTTTTTTCCCTCCTGTTTTTTTCTTCTTCTTTTGGTTTTTGTAAACAATGCACATGAACCAAATGTAGTTGTTTTTTGTTTTCAGCTTCAAACAGGGGTAGAGGAATTTTTTTTTACAAAAAAAAATTATGCAGTTGTCCAGCAAATGCAAATATTTTAAAAAGGAAAACTAAAGAAACCGTCAGAATAGAACAGCACAGACAGAACTTAAAAACAGTAGAAGAGAAAAAATAAACACAAACATGAAAATCCAAAAGAAACAACAGCCACAATTAAGACAAAAACTGGTTAAACCCGCCGATTGCTCTTGGGACTGAAGTGGGGGATTTTATGATGTGAAGTAAAAAGTCACTGCTGCTGAAAATGAGAGGCTGTCACGTGGATACCTCCTTCCTCATTCCCAGTGTTTACGTCTCTGCATCAGCCTGGGCTAGGGTAGCTTGAGGAACCAGCCTCGTGGGTGCCACTTTTTTGGTCAGTCGTGGGGCTTGAACTCTGGGCCTGGGCGCTGTCCCTCAGCTCTTCAGCTCAAGATGAGCACTCTACCACTTGATCCACAGCGCCACTTCCGGTTTTCTGAGTGGTTGATTGGAGATCAGAGTCTCTCCGAGTTTCCTGCTCCGGCTGGCTTTGAACCGTGATCCTCAGATCTCAGGCTCCTGAGTTGCTAGGATGACAGGTGTGAGCCACCGGTGCCTCTAAGAGCTTCCACTCATTTTGGACCATGTCTTGTAAGCTCACTGACTAATTTTCAACAGCACAAAAACCACAAAGTCGCGTTTCTTCAAAACTGGTGCTGGGTAAGGGGCCCCCCAGGCCCCCAGATGGCCTGTTGTATGGTGGCTCATTTCATCTGGCTCAGTGTATCACCCAATCAACAGGACGTCCCAGAAGACAGGAACTGTGGAGTCACATGGAGAGAGGCTGGTGATGCCAAGTCACCTCGTTAACTAGGGCTCCACATGGAGGAGAAAAGCAGTCAGTCCCTATCTCAAGAATTAGCCAGCATCAAAATTCATGGGCCAAACATTCGAGGAAGAGGAGGAGGAGAAGGAGAAGTTGACTGGGAATCCAGTGAGAAAGAAAGTTTCCAGAACTGTGACAGCAGGGCTGGGCCACACAGCCCAGGGACATGAATCTGAACCAGCATGCTTCAATCTTCTGTTCCCGGAGAAAAGGGAACTATATACAAATTACGACTACACACGGTCCCCCGTACACCACACCAAGTGAAGGGCGGTGATGTCTGCAACACTCATGCCCTTGAAACAGTCTTCAAAATAGATTCAAGTCCCAGCGATCCCAAGAAAGCCATGAGGAACTGAACAGCGGGTGAGGTTGGCTGGTGCCAGTCTTGGGAATCGGCTTTCCAGACGAACACATTCCCCTCGTTCTCTCTGTATTGATGAACAGGCAGGGCAGGCGAGGCCTCAACTCAACTCCTTTCACCCATCCAGGTGGTGAAAGCTGCATCTTCCTTCTTCATAGGTGCCAGGAGAAGATGGCCTAACAGAGAGGAGTCTTCCAGAGTGCTGAGCTTGCTCAGCTCCTCTCTGCCCAACAATATTCCTCTCCCTGAGCTCCCAGGATTGGGACAGTCGACGGCTGAGGAAAAGTGGAGGAGAAGCCAGCAGTTGGAGGTGGGGGCGGCTGGAATGGCGGAGAATGGCAGTGATGAGGGCGTGATTCGGGGTCCTCAAGAAACCCCTTCTCCTTCCTTTCAGATCAGAATCTCCACCATGTCTGACAGGTCCTGGACTCGGGCTGAGGCTACGGAGTCTGGAGAGAGACAAGGACCAAGGTGTTAACAGCATTGCTTGATCTTAGCTCACTCCCCCCACACACACTTCTTTTTTTGGTCGATTATGGGGCTTGAACTCTGGGCCAGGGCGCTCTCCCTCAGCTCAAGGTGAGCGCTCTACCGCTTGAGCCACGGCACCACTTCCAGTTTTCTGAGTGGTTCATGGGAGATCAGAGTCTCAGGGACTTTCCTGCCCGGGCTGGCTTTGAACTGTGATCCTCAGATCTCAGGCTCCCGAGTAGCTAGGATGACGGGCGTGAGCCACCGGCGCCTGGCTCCCTCTCGATTCTTGACCCAGACTACCAAGCTCCAGTGTGGAAGATGCATTTGTTCAGGACTCTGAACTGGTTGGAGGGCTTGAAAGAGCTGTGTAGAGCTCTCTCCAGCCTTCTCCCCCCCTCCCCCCCAGGCTGCAGAATTCCTCTCATGCCTGTGGTTTTCTGAGATCATGAGACACAGGCAAATATGCAAAGGCTAAATGTGAAAGGGAAGCTAAAAAAGAAAGAAAAAAAAGAAAGAGGTGGGGGGAGCCTCTTCTCAAGTTTCTCCTTCCTGGACTTTTAAAAAACAGTCTCTCAAAATGACAGCACCATCAGGGTAACTTGCATCAGTATCAGATTTTTTTCTGTCGGTCGTGGGGCTTGAACTCTGGGCCTGGACACTGTCCCTGAGCTTTCCAGCTCAAGGCGGGCGCTCTACCATTTGAGCCACAGCACCACTTTCGGTTTTCTGAGTGGTTTATTGGAGGTAATAGTCTCAGGGACTTTCCTGCCTGGGCTGGCTTTGAACTGCGATCCTCAGATCTCAGCCTCCTGAGTAAGCTCGCCCAATAAGGCACCTTTAAATTTTAGGCTGGCAATTTCGTATGTGAGGAAAAATGGTGGAGGAGGAGAGCTGGGGCCTTCCATGTAGCCTGACCTTCACCAAGGGCATCCGACAACTGTCCTGGTGCTTCACACCGGCCTCGTATTCACACCAGAGGTGTACATCTCTGTACCTCTCCTTATCCAGCATCCCCCACCAAGGTAGGTAGACAATGACCACGTGAAGGATGCGGGGAGATAGGGTCTTGGTGTTCCTCTTTATACTCCAGTTCCCCCCGCTCCCCGGGTACACGGGCCGGGGAAAGTGAATGGCTTACCTAGAGAAGCTGTCCTCTGGCTATTGCTGCACCCCGAGAAGCTACTGGGTTCTGGAGCCAGGCAGGTGTGGGGGGTGCTGTCCGGCAGGCCGTTGGTCTGGGTGCTGCCGTCTCGGCTCCCATGTTTGGTGTGAGTGGCAGGGGTGGCTGTGGCGACTGGTTCTTCCATGGGTGGTGCTCTGTCTGCGGGGAAAGAGAGCAGGTCGGTGGTTACAACCTGGCTTACGAGATGCGATTCCCCAATCAAGAGCTCCCCTCGAAAGTGAACCGGGGCCTAATGGACATCATGGGTGGCTCTTGATTTTTCTACTCCAATAAGACACCAAGGCTAACTGATTTCAAGTGGGAGTACCTATCAGGTCGGATTGGTCCCCGAATGTCTCAAATGGCGGGTTCCCTCTTTGTAGATAACTCTTAGCTCAGGGGTCCCTGCTTAGGAGGAGACACCAGGGCTGGTCTAGAAGGCGTACTTGGCCCAGGGAGTTGCGAATCTGGACGCTGTCCCTCAGCTCTTCAGCTCAAGGCTAGCGCTCTACCACTTGAGCCACAGGGTTTTTTGCTTATGTGGTGCTGAGGAATCGAACCCAGGGCCTCAGGCATGCAAGGCAAGCGCTCTACCACTGAGCCACCTTCCCAGCTCCTAAGACATTGTTCTCTTTATCCCATCCCCAGCTTCCTTCTTCCTCTTACCTCCCGTCAGCCGGGCTGACAGCTGCTCACTGACGGACTCAGGTCCTTGCCAGCCTTGAGTTCCTGCCACTGCTGCTGCTGCTGCGAAGATAGATGGCACCGACTTGGCAGGCCGCAGGGACCCTTGCGTGGTCTTGCCGGGGTCTTTCCTGGAGCGCTGCTGGAGGACTTTGATGACGGCGTCCTTCTCCAAGATCTGGGCGTGGAGGACCTTCAACCTGAGGGAAAGAGCCATGCCCATAGGCTCAGCCCTACCCATGGGGCACCGCCCCCCGACACGCAGGTGAGAACCCTCCGCCCTTTCCCAGGATGAGACCCGGGGCCTTGCTGAGATATCACCGCAGCCCTGTCTCAGCTCAGGAAAGGGCAGTGCTCCAGGGAGGAGTCACAGCCCTAACCCAGATGGTACCCAATGGCTCCCTAAGCCACAGTCTCCCGAGCTGTTGATCAGGAATGAAGGACGGGCGCCAAACCTGCTTTCCATCTCCTGGTGCCGGTGGCCACCCGAGAGCAGACCCTCGTTGAAGCTGCTGCTGGGTGAGGGCTGAGGGGAGTGGCGGATGAGCGTGGTGTCCCGCTGGGCGGCCGCCGTGGCGGCTGCGTCCATAGCAAACTGCCTCATGGCCCGCTCCTCCAAATACTTCTGCTCCCACTTGGTCATGTCGGCCTCCAGCGCCAGGATCTGCTCCTCTTTCTCCCTCAGTTGTTCTGACAGTCGCAGGGCACTGAGCTCTTGGGATCCACCATGGCTGCCTCCGCCGCCCCCGCTGCCACTGACACCACCGGGGGTGGTAGTGCCTGTCTGTCTCTGCAGAGCAAAGAATACCCTGATCAAAGGAAGTCCACTGAGCCGGGCACCCGTGGCTCACGCCTGTCACCCTAGCTACTCAGGAGGCTGAGATCTGAGGATCGTGGTTCAAAGCCAGCCTGGGCAGGAAAGTCTGTGAGACTCTTCTCTCCACTTAGTGGTTTGGCGCTGTGGCTCAAGTGGTAGAGCGCTTGCTTTGAGCTGAAGAGCTGATGGACAGCGCCCAGGCTCAGAGTTCAAGCCCCACCACCGACCAAAAAATACAAGGGTGGCCCACTGGTCTTTGATCTCACATAACGACGCTCACTTATACACCATGTTCAACACACACACACACACACCCAGCGAGAGTGGGCAGCATGGATCCTAACAGCCTTCCTTTGAATCCTGTGGGCAGACACAAACACACACAGGGGACCACAAAAATGATTCTACAAACTGTGAATGGAGTGCGATCCATCATTATACCTTGTCTGGCACCGGTGGCTCACGCCTATCATCCTAGCTACTCAGGAGGCTGAGATCTAAAGATCACAGTTCAAAGCCAGCCCAGGCAGGGAAGTCCGTGAGAGTCTTATCTCCCATATACCACCAGAAAACTGAAAGTGGTGCTGTGGCTCAAGTGGTAGAGCGCTCGCCTTGAGCCTGAAGAGCTCAGGGACAGCTCCCGGGCCCAGAGGTCAAGCCCCAAGAGCAGCAGCAACAACAACAACTTAATAATAATAATGATGATCATTCCACCTTGCCTCTGTGGACATCCTCAAAATCTCCCCCCAGCTCTGCCACCTGCCCAGGCCTCACCTGCTGCGCTCGCAGGGCCTTGAGCTCCTGCTCCAGGCGCGTGCGCAGACGCAGCTCCAGCTGCTCCCGCTTCTCGCAGGCAGCTTGCAGCTGCCCCAGGGCCTGCTGCAGCCGCTCCACCTTCTCCACGTAGGCCTGCTTCTTCCGCAGTTCTTCCTCGGCTCGGGCAGCCCGGCCCTGAGCGTTGCCCAGCGCCTGCTCCAGCAGCTCCGCACGCCGCCGCTGGTCCTCGATGGCGCTGCGCAGCAGGGCCATTTCCCGCTCCAGCTTTTCCTGCTCCTGCTGCTGTTCGTAGCCTGCGGGGGAACGCAAGGGGCTCAGTCAGTGATGGCGATCCTGCTCGCTAATCCTACACCTGCTGGACCACCAAACTCCCTTCTCCCAGTTCCTCCAGGTTGGCCTTCATGTTATGTGGGAGGGCGGGGGGTGAGGGTGGAGGAGGGCGGGCAGAGGTTTAGGAGGTGAATGGGGCTGCCACATGGACCCACACCACATGGTCCTGCTCTGACGTCCCAGGTCCCAGTCTATGTTTGGTTGTGGTGATGTGAGGCCACTGGCCACCGTGGTGGGTTCCCCCAAAGTGGACTCCGGGGCTCGTTTTGCAGGCCCAAGCCGTATCCTGTTCCTTCTATGGTTTGGGGACCCAGATCTGAACGCCCAGGTTCCTAGAGAAATGCCAACTGCAGCCCAATGGGGGCAAAGCTGGCGAGCCAGCTTCCCAAGGAAGGTAGGCCTGAGCCAGGGGGTCAGGGTGGGGTTAGACATTTGTGATAGTGCTATCTGACTGCAGGAAGAGGAGGAGGAGGAGGAGGAGGAGAAGAGAAAGAGGAGAAGGAGGAGGGAGGAGGAAGAAGTGTGGAAGTGGTAGAGGAGCAGGAGAGGAGAAGGAGGAGAGGGAGAAGAGGAGGAGAGGGAGAGGAAGAGGAGGAGGAGGAGGAATCAGCCTGAGATATCTGGCTTACAGAGCTAGCTGTTATGCAGTTAAGTATAGCTGCTTGGGTTTCTTTAGCTCCTTGGGTGGTAGAGCCAGTGGACCCAGCCTTCTGTTCTAGAAACTTCCTGTAGCCTTGTATCACTTCTAACACCAAGGGAGGGGGGAGGGTTTCCAAGCAACTATGCATTCCTGGAGGAGGTGGGGGGGTTACAAGATGCTTCATAGAAGGAAAGGCGGCGTGGCGGGGGCGGGGGGGATCCTCCACCTCACCTCCTAAGTTCCAGCCCCAGGAGGAGCCAGAGGGCCATGTGGTGTGGTATGGTGTGTGTGTGTGTGTGTGTGTGTGTGTGTGTGTGTGTGTGTGTGTGTGTGTGTGTGTGTGTGTGTGTGTGTGTGTGTGTGTGTGTGTGTGTGTGTGTGTGTGTGTGCCAGCTGGCAGCCCTAGAATGTCAGGCACTCAGATCATCCGTGGCTGGAGATTAATGGCTCCAAGGAGAAGCCAAGAACAGCTTGGTGCTAGCTAGCTAGCTAGCTCCCCGGGGAGCGGAAATGCCGACCCCCCCCTCCTCCCCAGCTCCCCTTTCACAGGCATCCAGAAACCAGCCCCCCCACCCCGTCCCCCAAGACTTCCTTTCTTTCACTGAACTAAGCTCTGCAAACTGACTCAGAGCCAGGCCTCCTCCAGTCGGGTTTTCCCTCCCAGCAGCCTCTTCTTTCCAGACTCTCAAACACATCAACCCTCTTTTCTTCCCTCACTCCCACCCCTCATCCAGAGACCCGTTAGCCACTTGATTTCTCAGGCCCACCCCCAATCCCTCAAGTACAGACTAACTTACTTCTCCCCCAATCTCACGAGTTTCTCCTTGGGAAGAAGTTGCTCTCCCACTTCTGGATACCCCTTCACCAGCCACACATTACACCCCCCCCCCCCACGGTAGGTTTCCCATAATAGCAGGAGGGAAGCTAGCTCCTGCCTTCGGCTTATTATCCCTCTCTCTTGCTCTCTCTAGGCCACTGCTAGGGTCTGCTCCCACCAGCCCAATGCCCAGTTTGTCTTCAAGAACAAGAAGCCGGTGGCTCACGCCCGTCATCCTAGCTACTCAGGAGGCTGAGATCTGAGGATCACGGTTCAACGCCAGCCCAAGCAAGGCAAGTCCGCGAGACTCTTATCTCCAATGAACCACCAGAAAACCGGAAGTGGCTCAGGTGGTAGAGTGCTCGCCATGAGCTGATGAGCTGAGGGACAGCACCCAGGCCCCAAGTTCAAGCCCCTCAACCAACAACAAAAAAGACTAGTCAATACACTTAGTCACCCTTCACCGATGCCAGTACCCCAGTCTTGACAGGAGAGCGTCCCCAACCCCTTCCTTTAGACTGTAACCATTTAGTGTAAACCTGTACCCCCTTTGCAAGGAGGGGGGGCAGACCTCCCCATCCAGAGGGGTCACAGTGGTCCCATTTCCGCCCACTGCTGGACTCCTACTCACTTTGAGCAAGCAGCTTGGCCACCATGTCCTGACTGCCGGCTTGGGCCTCTTGGGTCTTGCTTGCCAAATGGCGGTTTGCAGATTCTAACCTCTCTGTTTCCAAATGAAGAAGGAAAAGATGTTTTAGTAAGGGGGCGGCGGGGGGCGCTGTCTGTGAGCTTAGCACGTTTTGAGCCAGGCTTGGGGAGTCGATCTCACAAAACACAGAGAGACAAGCACATTCTGGCCCCTGGGTCAGTACGTGGCTTACGTTCTGAATCTCCTCTAGCCTAGAGACTCCAAACCTCTCCAGATGATTCCCCAGGCTCCCCAGACCCCCACGTGCGGCTCTCACCTCTCAGATCGCGGTTGAAGTCCTGAAGCCTTCTCATTTCACTGTCCATCTTATTCCGCATGGTTTTCTCCAGGGCCTCGCGTTTGGAAGAGGCCCGGGTCAGGCTCTCGTGAGCCTCGGACAGCCGCTGGATTTCGTTCTCGAGCTGCAAGGGGCAGAGAAGCAAGTTGGAGAAAGGGAAGGATTCTAGGCGGAGCCGCCACTTCTCAGTAGAAAAGAGAGGATGAAAAAGAAACAAAAAGCCGGGTGCCAGGTGGCTCCCGCCTGTCATCCTAGCCACTCAGGAGGCTGAGATCTGAGGATCGTGGTTCAAAGCCAGCCCCGGGCAGGAAAGTCCATGAGACTCTGATCTTCCATGAACCACCAGAAAACCAGACGCGGTGCTGTGGCTCAAGCGGACTGGACCCTTACTGAATTTAAAGACAGGAACGCTCCAAATGGCTGCTCTAGGGAGACTAGCCAGAGATTTCCTATTTCCTGTGTCCAGAAAGAGGCATGCTACAAAGGAGGTACAAAGGACCAGGAGTCGGGGCACCTTCCAGGCGGTGGCATCTAGGTTGAACACCTGAGGCCAATCATGGGAAGGGTGTGTGTGTAAACCATCTACTAATGCCCGGCCAGAAGCATTCACTCCACACACACACACACACATCCCCCAAGACATAGTCCTCTACAGAGAGATCTACAGCTCCCCCTCCCGCTTGGCAGCCACAGGTCCCGCACGTGCTTCTAGCTGGCTTGGCATGCCAACAAGTCATTCTCTCCTCAACACCCCCCCCCTCCTCAAAAAAGGGAGTTTTCTCTCTGGCCAGAGTTGGCCTAGGAACAGACTGGCTGTTGTATGGGGGGACACAAAGGACTCTCTGTGGGAGGTGTCCCTGGGAGGAGGGGGGTTTTGCAGGGTGAAGGTGCTAGCTGGTGAATGAGCTCTTTCTAACTGCCACTAGACAGCAACTGCTCCTGCTGCCGGCCTGGAGGTCTCTCAGCTGTTTGCCAGTTGTCTAGAATCAACTTGGGAGGAGGGATAAAGCAGACTGGGGAGGGGGTGGGGGGCAGGAAGAAGGATGGTACAAAATCCAGCCAGATATATAGGCTTTCCGGCTTCTCTGCCACCCTTGTAATTACCCCCCACCCCGCCCCGTGCACTGCCCATCACCCCCAAGGCTGCCCCCCCTTTTATTTTGGGTCGGTCGTGGGTCTTGAACTCAGGGCCCAGGCACTGTCCCTCAGCTCTTCAGCTCAAGGCCAGCACTCTACCACTTGAGCCACAGCGCCACTTCCGGCTTTTTCTGCTTAGGTGGCCCCAAGGAATATTGAACCCAGAGCCTCATGCATGCGAGGCAAGCGCTCTACCACTGAGCCACCCTCCCAGCCCAAGGCAATCCCCGCTTTACAAGGCTTTACCTTCTCAATGCGGCCTGCTTTCTCCGCAGAACTCTCCAGCTCCCTCTGCAGCCTCTCATTGTCCCGCTGCAGCCTGGCATTTTCCCTCAGAAGAGCCTCCATCTGGGCCAGGTGGGCACTGCCCGGGGTGGCCGAGGCGGCCTGGGCACCGGCGGACCCTTCTGCGGCGGGTGGACTGAGGAAGCCCAAGGGGCCATGGTTAAGAGTGGCTGGGTGTGGGGGTGGGGGAGGCTCGTGGGGCTGCTGCAGGTACTGGTACTGCTGCTGCTGGAGGAACACGGGAGGCACGTGGGCCTGCAAGATCCTGGAACAGAAGAGGAACGGCTCAGAGAAACCACAGATAGCTCAGGCCTGTCATCCTAGCTACTCAGGAGCGCTGAGATCTGAGGACCCCAGTTCAAAGCCAGCCCCGGCAAGAAAAGCTGTGACACTCTTTTATCTCCAATGAACCACTCAGAAAACTGGAAGTGGTGCTGTGGCTCAAGTGGTAGAACACCCACCTTGAGCTGAAGAGCTGAGGGACAGCGCCCAGGCCCAGGGTTCAAGCCCCGCGACCGACAAGATAAATAAATAAAAATGTACCCGTGACCTTCCTCACCAACGGAAAGTGCTTTGGGGAATCCGACAGCCCCATGGAACGTGACTGACCACACAATGTCTTGTGGAACATGGGGCCATTTGTTACCAGGCCCCCAACAGCCACACTGTGACTGTTACAAACCACCAGTTCCAGGTCTGCAAGCATTTAGGTTTTCTCTTTCCTTCTTATTTCAGGTTCTGTGACCCCCCAACCCCTCCCTCCAGCCTCAATCCCCAAATTATGTTTCGAAGACTCCAGTTAAGGTTCCACCACTGAGACAAAATGTCTGTCTCCGTACCAACACCTCTACCCCATGTCACCTTCCTTCTCCTAAATCAGGGTCTCCAGCTACAAGTATTAAGCCCGGCAAGGTTCCAGGAAGGCTCTCCTGATCATGCCAAGTCCACCTCTACACCTGTTTGTTGGGACTCTTCCTCTCCGTTTTATTTTATTCCTGGTACCGAGAGCAGGAGCAGAACAGAGCATGTACAAACTCTCTCTTCCCTGAAAAGCCATGGCCATTTTCCAGGTGGCTTCAGAAACTTGTGGTGAGGCCAGACACAGATCCAAGTGGCATTCTTGGGGTGGGGGTGGGGGTGGGGAGATGACTTCGCCCCAAGAAAGAATAGCTCTTCTTCCCTTTCACACTTTCTTTCCCTTGTTCTACCCTCCCCCCCTTTTTGTTCTACCCTACAGTCTACTTCCTGGACTCCGATATTATCTTTTCCTGACAGGGTTGCTACTCCAGGCTTGGTCCAAAAGAAGAAGCCACGACTCAGCTTCCGAAACGCTTCTGGACCAGTGCTGAGAAGGGAGATAAGGGGGTGGGGGTGTCTGGAGAAAACTCAGGAAAGGTGACACCTCCTTTCCCCCGCCCTGAGCCTCCATACCGGTGAGATCGCGTCACTTATTTCTGGTCATTCTGTTTCTGGAGAGCAAGGGGAAGAAGGCCAAACGGTGGGAAAGTAAGTGACTAAATGACACCTCAGCAGGCACGCCAAGACCCAGACTGCGACCTTGAACTGCCAGAGGAAGGGAACTTGCCCATCCTTGGGTGCCTCTGATAGTGGTGGTGGTGGTATTGATGTGTGTGTGTGTGTGTGTGTGTGTGTGTGAGAGAGAGAGAGAGAGGTGGTATTCCGGAACCTTCCATGGCACTGTTCCTCAGCTTTTCAGCTCAAGGAGAGCGCTCTACCACCTGAGCCACGGCGCCATTTCTGGCTTTTTTCCCCCCCTGCTTATGTGGTGCTGTGGAATCAAACCCAGGGCCTCATGTATGCAAGGAAAGCACTCTACCACTGAGCCATCTTCCTGGCCCCAGCAATGGCTCTTAAGACCCCCCCCCCACTAGAAAGAGTCTCATTACCCTGTACTGCAAACTAGGTATCCATCCACAGCTAAGCGGACGGTGGAGGTTGACCATTTAGTGAAAGCAACCATGCTAAAAAGAGTCCCTCTATCCTCCAGCTATCTGTGTACCTTTCCCAGGAAAGGGGGAGTTGATGTGGCAACCTTTGGAGCTGGTGTGTGTATGGGGGGTAGAGAAGGGAGGGGTGGAGTGCGATGGGAAATCTGGCCAACTTGGATCTTAGACGTATGACCTTTAGGCTCTGCCGCTCCCCTCCCCCCCCACCCTAGGACATTACATTGGAAGGAAGCCAAGAGCTTGAAAGATCAAGTCCCGTGGCTCACGCCTGACATCCTAGCTACTCAGGAGGCTGAGATCTGAGGATCACGGTTCAAAGCCAGCCCGGACAGGAAAGTCCCTGAGACTCTGATCTCCAATGAACCACTCAGAAAACTGGAAGTGGTGCTGTGTCTCAAGCAGAAGAGCGCTCGCCTTGAGGGACAGGGCCCAGGCCCAGAGGTCAAGCCCCACGGCCTGACAAAAAGAAAAAGATCAAATCCCCTTACCTGACTTCTGCATGCTGGAAATGTGGACTCCCTCGAGCTCGGTATCTGGGGTCAGTGACGGCGGTGGTTTCCTGGGCGACCACAACGTGTGGGTATTGAGGTGGGGGCCCACGGGGTTCTGGCCCTTCCGCAGGGGGACCCCGGAGTGCTGGGCCCTGTTGGCTGCGGGCCAGCTGTGGGAAGCTGTGGGAGGAACTCATGTGGCTGGGAGCCCGGGCACCATTCCTCTCCAGAGACAGCTGCAGGAGCCTTTCACTCAGGGAGCGCACGTGTCCGTGTCTCAGGTCCCGCAGGGCCTCGTCTTGTCTGCGGCTCCCACCGGGGACACCCCGAGGATCCCGATCCCCAGCATGCAGCCGGGGCCCAGCCTGCTGGGCCGCGTAGTACTGAGAGTGGGCTTTGGCCTCTTCATAGGTAGGCAGCTCCTCGCCTTTGCTGGGCTGTGGGCACAGCCGATAGAGGTTGTTCTCTGCCAGGTGGGGCTCGGTACCCTGGTGCTCTTGGCCTTGGGGCTCCTGCCTGGTGGCCTGCTGAACGCCCTGGTTGTCCTCGGGTGCCATGACTTCTAGGGAGGCCTGGGGGCTCCCCGAGCCGCCAGCTCCAGCCCCACCCCTCAGGGCCTGCTGCTGAATGGCCAGCAGCGTGCGGGTCTCAGTCAGGTTGCCGTAACGCAGCTGCTCCTGGATGAGCCGGTGCAGGACGGTCCCCGAGGGGTCTTCTAACGTCCTCATGCTTCCGCTGCTCATATACGATTGTCTACACAAGGATGAGCTTACACCTGGCCCTAGAGCACCTGGAGAGAGAGAGAGAGAGAGAGAGAGAGAGGATGATCAGTGGAGGCACGTGGAAAAGTGAAGGACTGTTCTATCACACGCTGGTTTGAAAGCCCAAAGATTTTGATCGAGGTTGGGGTGGGTGGGTCTCCCACCCCACCTGAGCTCAGGGGCCGGTGCTGACTCAGACTTCTGAGCCTTGGTTCCTCCCCACCCCCCCTTAAATAAAACAAAAACAAAAGGAAGCCAAACACTGGTGGCTCACGCCTATAACCCTAGCTCCTCAGGAGGCTGAGAGCTGAGGATCGAGGTTCAAAGCCAGCCCGGGCAGGAAAAGTCCATGAGACTTCTCATCTCCAATGAAACCAATAAGAAAACTGGAAGTGGTGCTGTGGCTCACGTGGTACAGCGCTAGCCTGGAGCAAAAAAAAAAAAAAAACAGCTCAGGCCCTGAGTTCAAGCCCCATGACCAACAAAACAAAAACAAAAAGGAAGAGCCAAACACAGCAGCTCATATTTGTAAGCCTGGCTATTCAGAAGGCTGAGATAGGAGGATCCAGATTTGAAGCCGCTGTGGGCAGACACATCCAAAAGCCTCTTCGTTTCCAATGAACCAGCCAAAAATAAAATCCAAAAACGATGTGACTCAAGTGTAGCCTTGGGTGAAAAAAGCCAAGCAAGAGGTACAAAAAGCCCTGAGTTCACATGACCCACACACAACTAAACTGGAAAAGGACTGCCGAGAATGTAGTTGAGAATTAAGAAGCGGTGACTTTTGAGCTCCCGTTAGCTATAAATCCCTGGCAAATGACTACCATCGCAATGATATTCATGAAGACTCACTAAACCCAGAGAACTACAACAGCAATCTAACAGAAACACCGTCTCCACAGCCGGCCACCCCATCCATCAGCCTGATGTGGTGAACTCCAGGACAGGCCTAGCTCAGATCTAACTGCTTAGCTGTTCCTAAGTAGGGGTGAACAGGGCCCCAGTTTATTGACAACACGTGATGAAAAAAAACCAGAGCACAACGGAAGCCCTAGGCTCCCTCCCCACCATGTCTGAGCCCTGCAGATCTAAAACACCCTCTTTACAGCCCCCCCGGTCTCCATTTCCCTCAAGGGCTGCAGGTAGATTGGAGACACCTTGTTCTTCATGACCCGCTGAGGACTCAACCTGACAATCCATCGGCTTTGTGAGGCCGGGCACACACCAAGGTGAGTAGCCCGTCACCTAGCGCACGCACGCTGTAACTGCACCTGCCACCCAGACACAGAGAGAGCCGACTGGGGAGAAAGTCTCTGATGGATTGTCTTCTTTCTGCAAGACTGGCTATTTGGGGGGGGGGGAGCATCCTGACACCAGTAACCACCAGTTGGACCAACTGGGGAGAGATAAGAGGATACAGGGGAAGCCAAACACCACCGCACGGCCATGGCAGGTCCGGTGTTGTGTTACGGGGAGGTGTGTGTGTGTGTGTGTGTGTGTGTGTGTGTGTGGAGAGGGGGTACAGGAATGTGGACCCTCTCCCCTTCTGCCACAACACTAACCCCCCAGTGCCCGGTGGGGCGTGTGTGTGCGTGTGCGTGCGTGCGTGTGTGTGTGTGTGTGTGTGTGTGTAAGCATAGCTCGGGAAGCACAGCACATTCCTAAGCCATTCTTTTCCCACCCTCCCAGTTGCCAGTGAGGAAGGGGTCCAGGGAGAGGGATGGAGGGGGACCCACCCCCCCTTCTTCTCCCCCTCCCCCAGTACCCCGTGTTCCCAGGGCAAAACCCAAAGCAAACAAAAGGGTTGGCTTGCATCTGCAGGGTGGTGGGGGGTTCCTGAAGGCCAGGGGTGGGGGGTGGGGGGTCCTGAAGGCCCAGGGGTTGGGGGGAATGGGGGGAGAAGATTGAGAAGTGTGCAAGCTCCCCCCTCTCTCTTGGCCTGAGATCTGTCCCCCCCATCCCCCCACCATGCCACCCTCCCCTCCCCTTCCTCCCCCCCATACCGACGGGCTGAGGGGGGTCCCCCGACCCTCACCCCCCCTAAGTCACCCCAAGGGTCCCCCCCGCCGCCAGCGCGCGCCCGGATTCCCACTGGGCCCGGAGGGGGGGGAACAGACAGACGGACGGAGGCCGCGTGGGGGGGGGCTCCGGAGAGCATTTTCTATTTCCCACCCCT